TATATATCATAATATTTGACAAACAGGCAGAAATTTGGCTTCAGAGATTTTATTGTTTGTTTTTAAAGCTTTAAATGCTCTCGTTCCAGAGTTTTGGGCCAAAATTTGTAACTTTGTGGGAGTCGAACCGGCTGTTTAGATCTTCAAATCAGACGGTTTTAGAAGTCTTAAGGTCCAGACTCAACAGTTCTGTTCAGTCTGGATTTAACACGACGGTTTCATTCTTTTCTCATTTGACTCTTTTTATTGTGTGTTTGATTTGACTCCTTTTGTGAAGCACTTTGGACACCAGCTGCTAAATGATTGGATTTTGATTGATTCAAAATGGCTGCTGTGGTTTGATCTCATTTCCAGAAATTCAAACTTTTACCCTAAAGGAGGAGAGCAGGATCCTCATTCTGGGGCCAGACTGAGTGTCCCCTTCAGAGTCTCTAGAACCTGAAAATCAGGTGAAGAATCTTTGGGTAAAACTGGACTCAGACCTGAACTTTAACAGCCAAATTAAATCAATAACATCATTGTTACCATCTAAAAGTCAGAGGAACAGAGTCTAAACCAGACCCAGAAAGACTAATCCAGAACCAGGAAACAGGACCACATCAGTCCAGTTCAGAACCAGGAACCAGGACCACATGAGTCCAGTTCAGAACCAGGAAACAGGACCACATCAGTCCAGTTCAGAACCAGGAAACAGGACCACATCAGTCCAGTTCAGAACCAGGAAACAGGACCACATCAGGCCAGTTCTCAGGTCTCTTCCTGGTCTGACCTGTTAGATCCAGATGAACCAGCTGGACTCTGAGAACCAGGTTCTGGTCTCCCGATGGAACTAAACCAGGTTCTGGTCTCCTGATGGGGCCCAGACTCAGAACTAAACCAGGTTCTGGTCTCCTGATGGGATCCAGAGTCAGAACTAAACCAGGTTCTGGTCTCCTGATGGAACTAAACCAGGTTCTGGTCTCCTGATGGGCCCAGAGTCAGAACTAAACCAGATGAAGCTTCATTTCAGCTCCAGGCTCCTAAAACCTGGATCAGACTTCCTGAAGACGTGAGACAGAACCCAACTCTGGATGTTTAAATCCAGATGAAAACATCTGTTTAACTGTGATATGGAAATGTAATGTATTTTATCTGAACCCTTCACTTTTGATCTATCTAATTTTTATTTATTTTTCTTGTTTTTCTACTTTTAAATTCTCTGTGAAGCACTTTGAATTGTCTTGTACAGATAAACCTGCCTTTCCTCCAGATCTGTGTAAATAACAGAAAAGGGGCCTGGACAGACTGAGGAGCTCTCCAAACTTGCTCCGTTTTGCTGAATGAGGCTTAAAAACTGGATCTTTAGTGTTGGGAAAAACAACCTTTACATCATATTTTCCGCCTGTGCTTCCTCAGGTTAATCGCGACTTTCAGAATCAGTGGCAAGCATCCTCCAAATAAAAGACCCGACGCTTCGGAAAACACGTCACGACATATCCTGTTTATTTTAACAAGGTTCGGTGTTTTGGACAAAAGCAGATTTCCGCTGTTAGCTAGAACTAATCAGCCGGGACATCTTTCCTATAATGTGATCAGAATGTGAGGACTCTGAACTCAGTCAGAGCACGAAGTGAGAGTGACTTTTACTGCGTTACTCATCAGCCAAACACACTTTTCATTTCTGTTTACAGTAAGAAAACTCCACTTAGTCAACACACACTTAGTCACTCCGTCTGTCTGCCGCTTTTCACACAAAGCGCCGCACCAAAATAACATTCGAAAACTTTCTCTTCCTTTGTTTTTACTTTTGTTTTGCCGCACAGCTCGAGTAAGAAACTGCTTTCGGTATAAAACCCGACTTTAACACGGTTTTTCAACGCAATTAAAAGCTCAGTTTTGAGATGAAGGTAAAAAAAACAAACAACAGGAGATAGATCAGTTATAATGAAATATATTTATTTCTCTTGTAGTAAAAAACTGAAAAGATTACGTATAAGAAAACATTTATTTACAAAGAAAACATCTGTCTGGCTACTCAGCAAACGGTTCATAGAGAAGATCGAAGAAAAGCTTCAATACAGGTTGGTCTTCTTCATTATCCGTAGAAACTCCTGCTCATTAACCTCACCGTCGCCATCCTGGTCTGCCTCATCTATCATTTCCTAAAAATAAAAGACAGCGGGTGAAATAATAAACCACAAAGATCTGGGAGATTAACAGAGAAATGAGGAGAAAAGAAAAGAAAAGAAAAGCTGTCTGACATGAGTTTAACATTTTATTAACTGAGAAGAATAAGAAATCAAATGTTTATTAATTTCATGATGGCTGAATTTAGGTGGAAAATAGATGTTGTTACTAATTAATTCTCCATTAACACATTGAGCTACATGTACAGTTGGGGATTTTGCAGGTTTGCCCACTTACAAAGAATGCTTATTTTTCCTCATCAGATGGTTATCAATTTTTATAAATTCATATGATGTGATTTTCTGGAATTTTCTTTGGGATTCTGTCTTTCCCTGTTAGAATGTACATATGATTAAAGTTATAGATCGTTGCATTCTTTGTAAGTGGGCAAACCTGCGATAAAATCAGCAAGGGCTCAAATACTTATTTCCCCCACTGTAGGTTAAATGAACCATTAAAGCTGCTAGAGGTGAGACACACACACACACACACACACACAAAATACCTGCAGCTCATCATCTGTGAGGTTTTCTCCCAACTCCTTAGCGACTCTCTTTAGATTTTTGAAGGAGATTTTTCCTGTGCAGTCATCATCAAACAGCCGGAAAGCCTTCAGTATTTCCTCCTTGGAGTCCTTTTCATTCTACATGAAAAAGAGGGTCCAGTTGTCTCTTAGAGCTCATTCAAAACCCAAAACAATCAACAATTATGCTGTCTGTCGCTCACTGAATTTAAATGACTGAACAGATTTAATATCCAAAGGTTACATTACTTTTAACTTTTGGATTTTCTGCTTTGTTGGGAATAAAAGTCTTTGTGTTCCTTAGAGCTATTAATAGACCATGAAAGGTTTATAATAACACATAAAGCTCCTGGATTACGTTGGCTCCCCTTGAGGTGAAAATGCCTCATTGAACAGATTTAGTTATTGTCATCTTTGGATGCTTTTGCCTTTGGGACTTTGCTGTTTGTTAGTTTGAGTTTTTTCTATTTGGTTTGAGTGGGGGATCATATTCTCTTTCAAGACACAATTTCATTTTATATTTGCGGCTGTGAAATTATTAAACAGTTTTATTGCTGAACACCGTTTTCAAACTTTTTGTCCACTCACCATTTTTAGTGTCATTATACTGAGAAACTCCCCAAAATCTATAGTTCCAGATCCATCTTTAACTACGTCTGCAACCATCTTCTTAATTTCTTCTTTCTTTGGTTCAAAACCCAGAGCTCTCATGGCGACCTGTGGCGGGGCAGAAAAAGTTAAGCATCAGGATGTTTCATTTGCCTTTAGTCAATAAAATGTAAACCAAGCTAACCTTAAGTTCTTTAACATCTATTGTTCCAGTTCCGTCTGTGTCGAAAAGATCAAAAGCCTCCTTAATTTCTTGTCTTTGCTCCTCGGTAAGTTCAAGTTTGGAGCTTGACTTTTTCTTTTGGCTCGAAGAGGAAGCTGGTTTCCGGTAATTTGAAGCCTGAAAAATTAAGCAAACAATTAACCATAATTTATTAAGTTACGTGGTTTGTACAAATGGGAAGCCTAAAGTTATATAGTGCGGTCTGTCCACATGCTAGCATCCTGCTAGCTAGCAGCTCCGCGAGACCAAAGAAAAGTTTTCACTCAACGGATTTCAACTGAAAAACTCCGTTTTGGCTACATAGCTTACGCACTATATCCTTCAAAGTTAATTTTTTTAAATATAATCGTACCATTTTAAAAGATGACTCAGTAAGGAAACGTCCAATGTTGTGTTTCGGGATTGAATGTCAACAAAACCAACAGCAACGGTTGTATTTTGTTTCCGTTAAGATAGCCAATCAAATCTTTGATAAAACGTCATCTTGGCCCATTATCCAATAAACAAGCAGAATAGGCGGGTTATTTCCGCCTCCGCCAATTGTATAAACTGTTTCACGTCGCTAGGCAACCTGAACATTTAACGCATGCGCACTAGTTGATAGACGTTTGAGATGAGACGTTTGGAAAACCGTAGCAAACTACAAACGTATCGTGCGTTATTAAAAACAAGGTAAAATAATATTTTTTGTGAATGGATTTTTTTTCAGTAGGAACGCGGATATTCTGTTATATTCTATTCTATTCTATTCTATTCTATTCTATTCTATTATATTCTGAAAGTGTACTTCTTAACGTAATGTGTTAGCTATTAAGCTGTGGCTAGTTTGAGGTGTTATTTGGATACAGGGTCAAAACTTTACATTGTTAGAGTTAATGTCCTTAACAGGACAAACTTTTAGGGCATCAGAGGTTTTAGCCACCAAAACAACACTCTTTTTCTCTTCTATGTTGGTTGTATCTGTCTTGATCATTTTTATCCCTAAGTAACAGATAGATAGATTGAAAGAGAGATACTTCATTGATCCCCAAGGAGAAATTCAAGCAGATGATTGTAGAAACTGTACTTTGAGGCGCACAAACTGAAACGTGTGTTGTTCTTACAGGATAAGCTAACAGGATGCCGGTGAGTGCCGTGGTAAACAGCCGACAGCACGCAGGCCTGCAGAAACTCTGTGCCCTGGCAGGTATGTCTCACTCCTCCCTGGGTCCTGACAAAAGGTTCAAGTTCATCCAGGACGA